GAAAGGATGGATGCAGGGGTGAGGCTCTTGAGCACACCCAGGGAAACAGGAGCGGGGACACAGCTGGGGCAGGAATGAGACAAGGGCAATATTTGTGGCAGAGGAACTGGTCAGCTGGATGCAGCACGTGGTTATTTAAATTTGATCTAAGAAGTTTGAGGTCGTTTTTTCACTTAATGTTATGCAAGAACTGGTTTTATTTACCATTGATTTATTTTTCTCCCTCCCTCTCCTCCTGTGGATGAATAACTGAAGTCTAGAGGAATAAACTAATGCTACTGAACTGTTAAATTATTTTGTTTAATATTACACTTTGAGTATCTTTTTCCACATAAAATCTGTTTCTGAATTACAAGCGTTTTCTTTACATTATTTAACAATGTACACTGTAAAAAAATAAAAATAAAAAAAATAAAATTAATTGAAACTTTGGTCTTCCCTGGCCGCAGTTAGTTTTGTTTTGCGCTGAACCCTTCTTGTACGACTGTGCCCCATGCTGCAGTTTGTTACCTTTGTAGAATATTGAATGAAGCCGTTCAAATAAACCAAACCTGCTTTGGTTGAGCTGTGGGTTTTCTTGTGGAACATCAGGTTCCAGCCCCTCTGTCCTGGTCTTGCAGTGATGTAACTGTTACCCAATTTACCAGTTCATCACAGGAAATAAACCCAGTTTAATGAGAACTTTTAACTGCTCAAAAGCAGTGACCAGTCACGAGCTTTTGACCTTTAACAGATACTCTGAAACAAAGTACTGAGAAGAGTAATTCCTAAATGGATCTTGAGAAGGGGAGTGGCTTGAGGGAGGAGAACAGATCAGCTGTCACTGCTTTTATAGCTGAGAACATCACCAAGGGGCCAAATGCGCACAGCTGTGGCAGACTCTAATTGGTGGCTGTCCCTGTGGAAGCCACCAAGGAGGGACAGACGGCATGTCAGGGGCAGGTCCTCTGCTTGCTTTTGGCACAGAGGCATGAGCAGGGTCTCTGCTCCTCTGGGCTGGATGTGAGCAGGGATGTGCTCCCATCCTGTAGGGCTGGGAGAAGGAACTCCTTAGCGACCTTAATAACAAGAATTCAGTTCTTGGATTGGAATTGTAATGGTCAACAGTGTCATTCTTACACTGCAGGCTTGCACTGTGAGAAACAAAGCTCACTTTTAAAATTTCAAAGGTTTATTAAACCTTAACAAAAATACAACAAAGGACTGAAGAAGGAAAAATTTCAGCGCCAGGAGTCCCTGCAACCAGCAGCCACATGCTCCCCTACAAAATGGATGCTCTGCCTTTTATACCCTCAGCGCCTCTCAAGGTTTTGTCAGCTCCTCTGCTGTCCATTGGCAGAGATCACTTTTTTACATCTTGATTGGAGCTCAGGTGTTGTTATGCCACACCTCCTAGTAACAAGCCAGGCCTCCCCAAATGCCCTGACTACCGAGGCTAGTACAAGGGGGAGGGGAAAGAGGACTATGGGAGGACATATGACAGTAACAGAACTATACATTTTATCATACACATAATATCTACCTCTTAATTGTGAGAGCAAACCATCACATTACTCATCTATAATAAACCCCCCTGTTCCTTTTCCAGAAGTCATTTGGCTCAAAAAACAAACTCTCATTTTCAATTCCAATAATCTACTCCTACTTCTCAAAAAAAACCCAAATCTTTTAAGGAGTCATACTAGCATCCATTGATGTGGGCGAAGACAATGGGAACAGAAGAAAAAGAATTGCAGATTTTCCTTCGACACACATATTTGGAATGGACCAAATGGATCACAGAGGTCTGATACAGCTTTTTTACCCCCATCTGCTGTGCCTAAGGGATTGCTACACCCATGGCAGGTGTATCTTAGTGCCAAGTACAGGGGCCAGCTTGGTCCCGTCCTCTAGTCCCTGTTGTATTATAGGACAGTTGAGGTATGATAAAGGTCTGGTATGGCCTTCTTGCCCCCACCTTACCATGCCTACGGGATTGCTGCCTGCAGCAGGGCTACGGAACCTTCTCAGGGGCGAACACAGGAGCCAACCTGGTCTTGCCCTCTGTTTCTTGTCTTACTCCACTTGTCGGTCCCTAAGGAAACTGCCCCAATAGCTCTTGCGGTTCCCTGTGTACTTCCCCTCAACAGATGCTTGTAACTCCCATCCGTTAGAACAGGACAATTCCATCAATGACTGGTGTGTCACTACCGAGCTCTGCTGGCTGGATGGCCCCTGGCTCTCTGTGTACACTGTGTTCTTGTAGGCAGAGGAATTTGTCTCTATGTGGAGGTTTGCCAAAAGATTGATGTAAAGTTATGTAAAGTTATGTACAGTGATTTCCATCAAATTTAATAGTGTGAAGTTCCCATTAAATCCCCATAAACAGGCGTATCTTCAATCACTGTGATCCACTGCAGTTCTAACCCACGTTCCCCAAAAGCTGCTGCCATCAGAACAGGGTGCTAGGCCAAGTGCTAATCCTCTCTGTGACAGTAGTGCTTCCTAGGCAATGCAGTTCCCTTGTGCCAGCAGTGGTGGGTAACTACTGTAAGACTCAATTACCCTTTCAAAAAATGAAATCTATGAGGCCATGCTATCTGCACTGTCTTCAGTTTAACCCCTCAGTGGGGAGGTCCCTTTCAGGTGCTGCTCGCCACTGAACAGTCTGTGCCAACTGCAAAGCGAGAGTGAATTCATGTCAACAGAGTTAAAGGCTGGTGAAAGAACCCAAAGAATAGACCACAACATCCAGACTGGGTCAGAGATGACCAAAGAAGCTCAAAGATGACCGAAAAGTAGAGCTGAGTTTCCACAGGCCAGCTCAAGGACTGATTTAACGAACGCTTTGGCTGGAGAGTTTAAATTGTATTGGTTATTGATGGAATTGTCCTGTTCTAACAGATAGGAGTTACAAGCATCTGTTGAGGGGAAGTACACAGGGAACCTCAAGAGCTATTGGGGCAGTTTCCTTAGGGACCGACAAGTGGAGTAAGACAAGAAACAGAGGGCAAGACCAGGTTGGCTCCTGTGTTCGCCCCTGAGAAGGTTCCGTAGCCCTGCTGCAGGCAGCAATCCCGTAGGCATGGTAAGGTGGGGGCAAGAAGGCCATACCAGACCTTTATCATTCCTCAACTGTCCTATAATACAGCAGGGGCTAGAGGACGGGACCAAGTTGGCCCCTGTACTTGGCACTAAGATACACCTGCCATGGGTGTAGCAATCCCTTGGGCACAGCAGATGGGGGTAAAAAAGCTGTATCAGACCTCTGTGATCCATTTGGTCCATTCCAAGTATGTGTGTCGAAGGAAAATCTGCTATTCTTTTTCTTCTGTTCCCATTGTCTTCGCCCACATCAATGGATGCTAGTATGACTCCTTAAAAGATTTTGGTTTTTTTTGAGAAGTAGGAGTAGATTATTGGAATTGAAAATGAGAGTTTGTTTTTTGAGCCAAATGACTTCTGGAAAAGGAACAGGTTGGTTTATTATAGATGAGTAATGTGATGGTTTGCTCTCACAATTAAGAGGTAGATATTATGTGTATGATAAAATGTATAGTTCTGTTACTGTCATATGTCCTCCCATAGTCCTCTTTCCCCTCCCCCTTGTACTAGCCTCGGTAGTCAGGGCATTTGGGGAGGCCTGGCTTGTTACTAGGAGGTGTGGTATAACAACACCTGAGCTCCAATCAAGATGTAAAAAAGTGATCTCTGCCAATGGACAGCAGAGGAGCTGACAAAACCTTGGGAGGGGCTGAGGGTATAAAAGGCAGAGCATCCATTTTGTAGGGGAGCATGTGGCTGCTGGTTGCAGGGACTCCTGGTGCTGTAATTTTTCCTTCTTCAGTCCTTTGTTGTATTTTTGTTAAGGTTTAATAAACCTTTGAAATTTTAAAAGTGAGCTTTGTTTCTCACAAGAAGGAATTTGGTATTTCTAAACACTAATTGCTGCTGCATTTCTTTCCATTTTAAGAACAGCTTCTGTTATGAGTCATGCTGCGCAAGCCTCGAATGGAAAAAAAGCTCCCAGTATAAGTTTTCCTGCCCTTTTCAAAGGGACCAGTCTCAAGAGAGTCATTGCAGTGACTTTGTCAGCGGAGGCATAGCTATATTTGCACTGTTTCCAGAGCCAAGGAAGCTGAGGCCGTTCCATTTTTCTTACAGACTTTTGAATTTTTTTCACTGTAAAAGTTTGGAATAGCTTTGAATTCAGTAATTTGGAATGTCTGCGTTCTCCCTTCTTAGCAGGTATATGGTTTCAACAGCGAGGGAATGACTCAAACATGTGGAATGTGCTTCTTCCCTGAGCTGTTCTGAAGGCAGCATTGAATTGGCCAGAAACAAGTAGGGTGAAAAGTGAAACTGTTTTCTAGATGTAATCTATAACTGTCAATTACGGTTAATTAATTATGTCCTGTCTTTCCACAATTAAGTCAATTCCTATCCTTTGTTCAGGAGGCAAGAGGATAGTAAAGGATCTTTTAAGGGAAAAGGACTGATTAAGCAATGAAAGCAGAGTAGGAGGAAGGGGAATAAATGCTGAATATTCCAAATGTCTTTACAGTTAGAGCAGTGAGGCAAACCGTGGGAGTAGGCCCCATTTGAAGCCTGACATTGATTTCAGGGTTGGACTAATCCCCAAGTTTGTGTAAATTTTCCTGGTTCAGCTCTAACTTCCATTCATGTGGCATCATTCTCTGGCACTGCAGTACCAGGCTCCCCCCATGGACTCCTGGGGATGGTGACACTGCTCCTGCCACAGGCGCTGGCCTGAGCTCTGCTGTGGTGCTGCCTGGACCTGCAGCTGCACTGCACGGGAACAGAACAGCCCAGCCTAGCAGAACTCCTCCCTGTCCTGCACGGAGCTGCTTGGAATGGATAAGGGAGCACCGCTTACAAATTCTTCCTTTGGCCTGCTAATTGGACGGATGGATTCTGACTCGATTCCAACCAGCTTCTGGCTTTGCTGTAACCTGTGAACCGCTGTGAGGTTTCTGTTTGCCCATCCTAAAGCAAAGGAGGCTGTGCAGGTGCAGTGCTGCCCCTTTCACTTCAGAACATGGTGCCTCCTTCGAGGCCACGCAGCAGGGCAGAGAGGCATGAACCCAGCGGGGTTTGTTTTTTAAACTAATGTTTATTTCTGTATTGAAAGGGGTTGAAAGCTTATTTAAAAACAGCAGTTCAGCTCCCATTCATGTTCCAAAGGATCGGAGCAAGCACGGGGCTACCGTGTGAGGCTGGCGGGCCCAGCGCTACTGCCCTCAGGCACAGAACAGCTGGAGGCGCTGCCGCTGCACGGACTGCAGGGAGGCGGCTCAGGAAGAGGAACAGGAGCTCGGGGCTCTGCCCCGGCTGCACAGCCATGGCAAAGGGCAGGGCTGCACCCCAGACACTGCCAGCAGCACCCCTGGCCTGGCCGAGTGCTCAGCCATAGCTTGTGCCTTCTGTCCCCTGGCCACAACCCCTCTGCTCCCCGTTGTACTGAACATCTCTCGTCTCTGTGCTGGAATGCAGCACTGAGGGAGAGACAAGCTATGAACTGCATCTCACTTTTAACAATCCATTCTGTTACTGCTTAAGGCAATTTACGGGTAATAGCCACTTGTAATATGGCCACAAGTCTCGTGCTGTAGAAGCACAACTAATGGCTTGGTTATAGACAAAGTCATCTGCAATACATAATAACCTAAGAGTACATGTTGCTTCACTATAATTTACAGCAGAGTCCATGTGACTGGAAAGCCAGCTGCAGCCTTGTGATGTAATCCATGACAGAGGCACAGATCCATTTGGGTGCCTCACGTAGGTTCCAGTCTCCTTTTCTTCAAGCTCTGACTTCTCCTGAGGGGGCTGCACCCTGCCACACAGGGAGAAAGTGAGAAATGGACATTTTTTCTAAGTATGTTCCTCATTTCTTTCTCTAACTCTTCCCTGATAGGACAGTAGGATGGAAAAAAACAGTTTTCCAAGGCCACTGTCCCAGCTTCTGCAGCCAGGTCCAAAAGCATGGAATGTTTTTCCCACCGGACTTTCCCAGTCTTCCGTGAGCCCCTGTGAAGCCAGAGCTCAGTCACTTGTGGCAGCACGTACCTGGGGTGTGCTGGTGGGCACAGCTGGTGCTGGGGGCTGCAGAAGGGGACTGCATCTGTGGCAGCCTGGCAGCAGCTTTGTGCTGGTTCCCCCTGTGGGGTGTCCTGCAGCGAGTGCCCATCTGCTGATGGCCATGGGGCGTCTTGGGTGCCTGGTGAGCAACTGGTGAGGGCTCTGATTCTTTGACACCCGTTACCTTTAGGTCAGTGCTCTCCAAGGAAATGTCCCAAAGTTCAGGATCATCTGGAAGGAATGAGAAAGGGATCCATGATACAGACCTGTACTACAGTAATGGCAGTAGCTGCAAGACCAGCACATTCTTTTCCTACAAGCAGTGACCACTATAAAATTTAAACTATAAAGCATCTCTTATGTGAGTGTGCAGCAGAGTCCTGCCCCTTGTGCCCTTAAGCGAAGTGCAGGCACCACAATGTGTACCAAAATAACCATGGTTTTATTGAGAAAAGACACACCCCAAATCTCCTCCCAGGTTCTGTATTGTGCAGTATCACCTCAGGAAAAGGATTTATCACACAGCTGTACAACTCTACTGAAGAGCCTAAGTGAAACCCCCCGTAGAGATTAACATCATCTCCCTGCCACTCAGGCAAAGTCTGTATTATTAAGGTCAGAATCACACTCACACTTCTGTTATTCCAATTCTTCAGAGCTTTTTCCTTTACACTGTATTCTGAATTAACGTGGTTTAAATGCTAATGATTTATCACTTATCACTCTTTGGCTGACCTGCAAAGAACTCCTCTTCTATCGCCAGCTCCTGTTGGACTTCTGCTGGAGTGCTGTGCTTCACAGGAGCATCGGATTTTGCTGCAAGGAGGCAACACAGGACAAGATTAATACCAGACATACAGATACCCTTTTGACTCCTTCTTAGCAGAACATGAAGCCAGCACTACCACCAGGTACTCTCTTTTGTCCTAGAGCCAGCTAAGGCTTGGAAGCAGAATGTGGGAAGTAGCATTCTGTACTTGATGACATCAGACAAGGAACTCTGCTACTCCAGCATGGGTCTTAGCCTGTCCATCATCATGTTCCTGCTACCACATGGCCCCAGACTACCCCATGAGCCAAGGGCAATGTATCAGTAGCTCAGGCAGTATCTGTTTGCTTGCAGCTATCAGAGCCAAGTGCTGCAGCCTCAGCTTGGATGCAGCTGGTTAATGGTGCTGGCAACAGCTGATTTAGGGTGGCTGCAAAGTTGCAGATTTAATGGTGTTCAGAGCTGACGCTTTTGGAACCCAGAGGGGGACTCTATGATAATGCTCCTGCCTTTGGCCTCAAAGGTGTGTTAATGGCACAGCACAACAGCACAGTAAGCTGGCCAGGCTCCTGTACTGTGGACAGCCTATGCCTGCCATCAGCTCTCATGGAAAGTGCCAGGTTTGATTGCCACTTCTCACCCTGTTTGCTGCTGGGAGTAACTCCTGGGACCTGCTGCTTTTTCTCCATCTGCTCCCGGAACTGCTGCTGCAGCCGCTTCTGGCGCAGTTTCCTCTGGTAAGTGGCATCATACTCCATGGCTAAGGAGTCTGTGCTTCTGTTCTCCCATCCAGAAACACAAAGTTAAACAAGACCTCAGCAATTACATTTTGTGAAGAAAAAATTCATTAAGAAATAACAGTAAAGAAAATCCACTGAACTAGTCCTTTATGGCATCTTTGAAACTGAGCTGTCTACATGTTTTAGAAGGCCCAGTAACTTCTAATACAGCTTAAAAAATATTTTTATAACTGCAGCCTCACCTGGGAGCGTTGGGCTGTTTCTGATCTGCTGTCACAACAGCAGCCTCTGTCTGGCCAGGCTTATAGACAGGTGTCACCTCACAGTGCTGTCTCCCTGCTGCGTTCTGCCTTTCCACATAGCTGCTGTATCTTGCTTTCTCTATTTCAGGCTCATAGTCCTGTATTTTAGCTTTGACCAAGTCTAACTCAGGGGGTACCTGGTCAAGGAGAAAAAGAAAAGGTTCAGAAATTTCTATCATCAACTTAATGAAATAAGTGCTGGTTAAAAATCTATTTTGCTCGCTCTAAGCTGAACAGTAAGTTAGAAAAGTGAAATGCTCTTTCAGTACTCAGTAATTCAGTCAGTTAATCATTGAATTCCTGTGACTTTGTGTTGGTTTAACTGTTCAGTGCTGCAGGGCAGATGGTGAGGTCTCCCCACACTGTTCTGCAAATGAGAACAGGATTTTACAGCTTCTCACAGCCCCACAAGGCTGTTGCTGAGTTTGTTTTACCAGTCCATTTTCCTGCTTGTGCTGTAGAGCAAGGCCAACCTTTACTGACTTCTGAGGAAGGTACATCATTCCTGTTTATTAAAGGCAGGATGTTTTAGCTCTGTCATCTTAGAGGTTTGTGGCAGTGCCTCTAATAGACGATGATCCCAGCAAACCAGAGACCTGGGCTATCTTTACCTGGTGAGGTGTCACTTTGGATCTGCTCCTACTGTGTTTGACAGGACTGCCTTGCAGCTCTAGGTTTCTACTGTGATTGAAGGCAGCTTTGCTATCAAAGTCCATGGATCAGCAGTTGCAGAAAGCTTTTCCCTCCTTCCACAAGGCAGGTCGCTGCCTAGAAGCCTCCTGCCCCCAGCTGGTGCACACAGGAGCAGGCAGGATCCATGGTGGTTCCTGAGGTGCCACTTTAGGAACACCCTGCTCTGTGTGTGTGAGCTGTTTGTTAGGAAGGCTGTTGGTCTCAGGAGCCCTCAGGAATGAGATGCACTGATAGCACCACTGCTAAGCTCTGTGGCTGCAGAAGCAGGGCCAGTGGGGGCTCTGACAGCCCCTGTACTGCACCTGCCGGGGAAGCTTGTTCACGGCTCGCAGGTAGTCCTTGTCCAGGATGCAGTTCCCAAGGGCATTGCCAAAGCACCTGAGAAACAAGAAGGCTCACTGTGACTGAAAAACCCTTTATTCCCACAGAACTTCTGAAAATATACAAGTGCTGATCTTCACTTACTTGAGTGCTCTCTTCAGTCCATCTGTTACTGCCTCCTTTCTTGCCTTTTCTAAGGATAAGGCTTTAGACTTCAGGCCTTCACTGACTCCATATCCCACATCTTCATGGTATGACCCATCCTGCAGTACACATTTCAAATATAAGAGGATTTTTACATGCAGGTGCTGTGCTCTCCCAGACCTGGTTACTTGCTCTTGGCTGTTGCACAGCAAGGTCAATGTTTAGGACACCAGTATGTTCCCTAATGCAGGGCAGTACCCTAGGACTGTGCTCTGACCCATGCAAGAACTTTCATTCACAGCTTCAGGCAATTGCTCAGCTACAGTCAGAGCCAACAAAAAAACGCATTTACCTTGAGCTGAACTTTCACAAAAGCACAGACACCCACATAGAACCTGCCATTGTTGAGGTCAACAAAGTCTGGAAAGAGATATTTAAAGTGTTAATGTATAAGAACAATACTGGAAAAGCAACTGTTGTCTATGAAAGTAATTTCTTTCTTATGATCGAGTGGGTTGCAAATAATTTGCACAAGGTTTCATCATGGACAGAAAGCCTGAATTTCTAAGAATGACTAGTTAAGGCATTATCTGAGAAAGGTAGAAGTTTGAAGGACAACAGTACTTTCTTGACTGAAAAACAGGAAAGAAAATCATGGTACAGAATAGATGGAAAGCAATGAAGTAAGTTGTTCTATTTCTAGAATCTACCAGCCTGAGTTAAGAAAAGATTTCTGAAGGTGGGGGAGAAGGAAGAAGGTAATTTAAGCTGCTGCTTTGACCTACTTCAACAAACAGTCTTCAACATAAGCACAGCAGATCTGCAAACAAGGACAACACTCCTCTGGCAGGTTCTATTTCAGCTATCAGCATGGAAGAGGCTGAATCTTTAAGATCACCTGAACATGTTATAGTTGAAAAATTTTCCTTAAGTTTTCTGATGTAAAAACCTCAGTACTGAATATTAGCTAGAAGAAAAATCTGCACAAAAAGATGGGTCCCTAAAGATTAGGGTAATATTAACTAAGAATATCAACTGGTTAGTTGATATTCTAAAAATTACAGGTGAGTATGAAAGTTGGCTTAGGACTGCTGAGTGTTAAATAGTTTAATTGTAATTACTCTTGACTGAGAGTACCCATAGAGATCAGAGACTTGATTAGAACAGCTCAAGAATAATCATAAACACACGCAGATTAATGACAATGACAGATCTAAAATGAAAACAGAAGCTCCATTATTATTCAGTTTCTCTCATTTTTACTAATTGTTAAGACACCTGGAAGCTGCTCATGCCTGTGCCCGGGTGCTTTGAAGTGATGAAATTGTAGGAGCTGACGGCACTTGGTTTATTCAGTCTGGAGGAGGCTGAGGGGAGAACTCACTGCAGTTACACCTCCTTGTGAGGGGAAGAGGGGGTCAGGCACTGATCTCCTCTCTGTGGTGACAGTGACAGGAGCCAAGGGAATGGCCTGGAGCTGTGCCAGGGCAGGTTTAGGTTACATATTACAAAAAGGATTTTCTCCCAGAGGGTGGCTGGGCACTGGAACAGCTCCCCAGGGCAGTGGGCACAGCACCAGCCTGCCAGAGCTGAAGGAGCATTTGGACAACGCTCTCAGGCACATGGTGACTCTTGGAGTGTCCTGTGCAGGGCCAGGAGTTGGACCTGGTGATCCCTGTGGGTCCCTTCCAGTCATGTTCTGTGATGGAAACCCTGGCCCTTATCTGAGGGAATTTTCCTTCACATGGAAACAAGAGGGAGCAAAGATTTCTTTGTCCAGGAGAGACCCTTACCAACATTCTGCTGAGTGACTGAGTGAGCCCAGCCATTGAAGCCAAACATTTCATTGGCCAGACTGATGACCTTGTGACCCTCAATGTAACAGACCTGAAAAGAAGAGCACATACAAATAAATATATATATACAAATACATAGCCTTGTGCACACATCTCTGCACACTTTAACAGAGACTACACATACCATCTTACATCCTTACTGAGGAAACCCAGCTAAGTTCAAGGTTCAGATAATATGAATAAAAGACTGATGGTGCAGCTTCAGGTGCACTCTCTTCCAGCAAATGTTGGGGATTAATACACTCAGTGGTGGTGGGGATTAATATAACATCAAATATGACTTAATCAACAGAAGGCAGAGAAGGCACTAAAGATGGTAAATGCAGCCATTGTTATATAATGTTTCATATAATCCAATTCTGGGGAAAAATAGGGAAAACATCTCAGTGTTGCACAAGTAGATAAATATTCCTTTGTAAAGGATGAAGTACTGAAAAATTAAGTCTCTTTTTAAGTGTAAATGTAAAATCTGTGGCTCAATAAAAGCCAGAACTTATGCCATGCTCACTTTGTGTTCATATCTGCATATTAAACTACTAGAGGGAAATAAACTTCAAAAAAAACAAGGAATATTGTAACAACTTAAATCCTAGTTTTCCTGGGAAAAATTGAGTTGAAACATCATGTTGGTTCCTACCTTTTGCCCTCCTCCTGCCTGCCGGCTGCTGATGTAGTCTGGGCCCAGCCTCTGACGCAGCGCGTGCTGAATAGTCCGATACTCACTGGCTGTGTATTGATACTGGGCAAAAACACAACAACACACATCTCACCCTCCCTGTCTGAGCTTCCCCTCTTTTCCTAATAGCACTGCTTTATCCCAGTCCTTCCAACATGGGCATGATCCAGTTTTTGAAACTGGCATCATGCACAGGCGAGGAAACACCTCAGGGTACGTATGTGCATTAGACCTTTTTTCAACTTACTCTTGATAGATACAGGCATTAATTACTGAGCTGCAGTAATTATTTCTCATTAATAATCCTAACCACAAACACACATATAATTTTCTATATTACTGCTCAAAACCAAAACATGAGTTCTGTGATCAACAAGAAAATTGTATTTAAAGACTCCAACAAAACTGAAGATTAACCATATGCCACTGCCACATGTCACGAGGGCAGGGAGGACAGCAGCTCAGGAAAGCAGTCAGAATAGGAATTTTTTGAGTTATCCCATTTCTTTGGATGACTCCAACATCACTGGTATCATTGGAGAATACCAGCATCATGGGAAGCCTAAGTGTTTAGGTTTGTATTAGTAGAAATCCAAATTACAAAATGTAGCGAAGCCTAAATGTATATTTAAGGATTTGAGAAATAAGCTTGTGTTGTTATGGCCTGAAATGGGACAGAACAGACGTTTCACCACTTAAATCATAAATATTGTGTATGCATGTACTGGCTGCCCTAACAATTCAGCAGAACACAGAATCTTATAGTATGTGTTTGTGCCATATAAATTCCAACTCCTGACAAACCACTCTAATTTGTATTTAGTTTTATTTAAACTTAACAGTAAAAATTTTATCTTTTTCTGACTCTAGAATGCAAGCCTGTAACCAAAAAGAATAAGGAAAAAGGGAAAATACAAGCTTGTGCCACATTCAGGAACTGTGTAAAAATGCCTATCATGGAGAAGAGAATTCACCACCAAAAACTCTGCTCAGTCCAGATACAGTTTTCTTTTTTCAAATTATTTTTTAATACCTCAAAGTAGTTGGCTTTTCTGAACCTGTACTGAGAATACATGTAAGCATGACTCATGTCATCTGGGAATAAGAGAGAATAGAATGAGACCCACTTTTAAGGTACAAGATGTAAAAACCTTTTGAGAAGAATCCAGAATAATTTACTGTAACTCAAGGCATGCCAAGACTATTGCAGAGAAAAAATGTGAAGTACAGTAGTGTGTAGCATGATTCCAGCCTTACTGTACTCAAATTTAAAAGGAAATAAACATGCAGAGCAGATTTCCAGTAGTGTGAGCATGCAACTTGAATTTCCTGTCGGGCAAAAGGAACTGACTTGTCCAAAGGAAGCCACTGAGTCCCCAGTGTTGGAGCTGCTGCTGCTGCTGTAGATCTCACCGTCCTTCCCCTGGCTCTCAGGCATCCCTAGAGATGAGAGAAAATATAGTGACTGAAGAGGACAGAACTGACAGTCCATATGAAGACATGGCAAAAAGCTTATTCTGAATACTACACTGATAAAAAAATATAAATGTGGGGTTTTTTTTTCCTTTTAGGTCAATGTGAAGGCACTATACCATGCCAGAGAAGGAAGAAGAATTCCTTCTTTCAGATTCTGCAGCACTGTCTTCCTGGACCACTTTCAATATCCATTAATACTTTGATAAAAAGTAGGGAAAACTTTACTCAGCTATACCCTGACTTGTCAGTTTAGATTGCTGTTTTGACTGTAATCACTCTGCTTTATGGTGCCACATAAACCAACCATGCAGAGATGAGAACCACAGAACCTGTCAGAACTGTAAGAAGTGGTACCAATAATTCAGTAGATGGCAGCCTTTTCTAAGCCCGTGTCCAACACTTCCCAGCACTGCACTTTCCCCTGCTCTGGAGCAGTGGGCCTGGGGAGATTGTGGACCCAGCTGTGCCAGGGGCTGTAGCAGCACTCCCAAATAACTCACAGAGATAATCTTTTATTGTATTTGCACTAATGCTGAACACAACTGATAGTGCAGCACTCAAAGACTTTTACAGGCAATACAAATACCAGACAAAATCAGACATACAAGAGAACTGGAGATGTCAAAACAGTTTAAGAAAGCCTAAAATCCTCAGTAGATAGCATGATTTGCCAGTCAGTCAGCACATGGCTAGTATTCTGCTTTGTTAATGCATTCCAGCTGTGGCACTTTTTAAAATAAGTTGTTTTTCTAGCCTCTAAACAAGAAATCCAAAGTTCATTGAGGACTTGGCAAACAATTTTCAGAAAAAGGATACTGGTTGTTTCCTTGGCAAATATGAGCACTAGCAATTATGCCAAGTGTAGCTAAAATTCTCCTTAATTTTGGTTGGCTAGAATTATTCCTCTCTGGTCCCAAACTTGTATAATTGTACAGTGTTCATACACATGAATGCATTTCCATCAGAAGTTAGCAGCAATTTGTAAATACATTTGGCTTTGGAAAAGAGCAATTAGAAAGCAACATTACCAGGAGAAACACTTGTGATTTAAGCAGACTATTTCCTCTGCTCAGCAAAGAGTTCACTGCATGGGGAGGGAGGCAATTAGGAAGACATAAATAGTGTGTGTGGCCAAGGGAACTGAAATTTGAACAATACTGTTGCCTCCACTCACACCCCCAAGCTGCCTCAATCAGATCTTAATCACTCTGAGCCCTTGGGAAGAAACAATGACCAAAATGTCACTTGCCTACAAACACTATGACCAATTTATGCAAAGCAGGTGGGTGGCATTTTGATGCAAAATTGCTTAACACCGGTTTTAGTTAGAGTCCTTCAAGCTTTTATATGGTTTTATACGGTCCACCATTATCAGTCTAAATTTAGTTGTCAGTGGTTGGTAGTAGTTGTGTGAATATAATTTGAGTGAAGGAGACACAAGTGAGCTTAGTTTCAGGCTTTACCTGCAGGAGCAGCTTCAGCTGTGAGCATTATTTAAACCATACCCTCGATCAGAGCAATGTGGGGGGTTTTGTAGTTGGGGAAGTGCAGCATAGCCAAGCCCTGTGTCTCAAAGCAATTGTCTGACCCTTTCAGAGTGACAGAACTTCAATATAAAAAATTATTAGATTAGGAGCTGGGAACAATGAGAAGTTAATTCTGCACATGGAGCTACAAATCTATCTTGGTGCCAGACCCAGGAAAGGCAAGATGTTTCCACTCCTCACTGGAATATTGTTTCCTCACTACCCTGCCTTCTCCCCAGAACATTTTAACTTGCATGAAACATTAATGCTGAAGTAGATAATAAACTATTCACTGGAGTGCCGAAGAGCCTCAGACACCCTCTGGGCTGTGGCAGGAGGCTGCCTGCCTCATTAATCAGTGTTAAAATATGCTCTATTTTTAAACCAGAAAGACTAAAAACTAAAGTTCAAATATGCATTTGAATATGCAGGATGATACAAGCAGTTTATCAGTTTAAAGGTGCCTACAAATTATAATTTGCTATCTCTGTGGCAATGGAGACATTGTTTATTATTTACAGGGAATTCTTCTGAGTTTAGCTGGTAATGTTCTCAGGAAGTTTTCTTGTCACTGAGAAGGAGTCCACATAAGACTAGAGGTACTGCACTGTGCTCCAAAGCATTGCCTTGACACATTAGAACAGGTAAAGAAACTTACCAGCTTTGACTACTACCTATTTTGATCTTGTCTTTCAAAATTTGAACACATTGGGTACATAATCGCAAAAAAACAATCTCTGGTTTGGGAAATTGGATATGAAATACTAATTTTCAACAGCACTGTACAAGTAGGTATATTTGCATGGTGTTGAAACTGAGCACTGCTGAGAAAAATGTGTGTGTACACAAATTCTTGTGCAGGAAATAAACCAATCTTCCAGAACTGATAATCCTGAACTTAATCCTAAACCTAATCTGTTCAAGTATATCTACCACTGTGGGGCTACAGCAGCAACACCACCTACCATGATTGTGTGGACATAACTTCTAATTTTCTAACTTCCTCACGCACCTTTCTATCCTACTATCCATTACCCCCCACAAATTTACTGTGCTCCTAAATCATGTCTTTTCCTATCAGTTCCACTCTGCCTTGACAAATCAGGTTTTTGAACCATGCTCTGTGCTCTGATCCTGTGGTATGAGTGCCAGTGCCCAGCTCTCCTCACCTGTGAGGTGGAAGCAGGCAGTTTTGCATCACTTCAGAATAGCTTGCATACCGTGCATTGTGCAAGCACCGCAGCTTGGGCAATGCTCAGCTAGAACACGGCTGTTCCACGGAATTAATCCCAGCATCCCACAAGCTAAGACAGGACTTCAGCACAGGCTGTGAACATCCAGAGGGCTTTTCATTCATCCTTGCCCTCTCTGTCTGGTAAGCTTCCTTCTCTGAGAGGCTTTGGTCTGCTGAGTAAAGATCTTCAACATTCTTTCAATAAATGCAATTCCACTGAGCCCAGCAAGAGCAAACAGTTACACAGGCAGCAAGTGTGATTTAGCAAGCACTAAAGATAATGCCACATACTTAACCTAAGGTATTACTCTAAGAAAACATCAAAAAAAACTTTACAAGCTTTATATTTCTGTGGAGTTTTCTTTCCTTTGAGAAGCCCAGACTATTTTATAAGCCGATTTACCTGTTATGCAAAGGCTGCTTTAACACAAACCTGAAGTACCTCTTTCAAGTGTAATGGGGTAGATGTTCCTAACCAAGACAGGCCTGTACTATTCCACAGTTTACAAGGAGTGGAAAAGAGATGATGCGGTTGCTTGTGGATAAGCTGTACACAATAGAACTCCCCAGTTTTCATCTCTGATATCACTAATTAAATAACCTTGATGACTTGAGAAAAGCGAGGTAATGTTCTGTTAATTTTGACCAGAGGAAAAGATACTCACTGAGAGGTTAAACATGGAAATGCAGGGGCAGCTCAGGAGACTGAGTGTCTGCTGCAACTCCAGCTGGCCTCACGTGATGACAGTGCCTTTTTCATGCCCCTCACTCATTCAGGTCATATTCTGTAACAAGAGAAAAGGTGTAAGATAGAATGTTTGAGCTCCCTGCAGTAGTTTAAATATATTTGCTTTCAAGGCATACAAGCACCACTCTGACAATTCCTGCTCAGTTACAGCACGTCAGATGCACACCTCCGTGCAGCCCCACTCATTCCACTGGAATCTGTGTGGCTCCAAAAGAACAACTCGACTCTTTTATTTGTCAGGCACTGCTAGATTTACTCTTGGCATGTCTAGGATCATGATCCTCCCTACACTGAACAGAAAACACTATTTCTGATTCCACTTTTTTAACAGTTTAATGAGCACAGGGTAAAGTTTTCTTCCTTACTTTTATATAATTTTGGAAGTGTAACAGTGCATTTGTGGGGGTGTGTTTCTATTTAAGAATTTTTGGATACATCTAACATCTGAAAAAAAACTTACCTGGGCAATTCCTGCATTTTTGGGACACAGGATGAGAAACTTACCTCCTTACTCATTGTGCTGTTTCCTGCCAGGCAGCCACAAGCTCATGAAAATCAATGTAACTGCTGGAAGCTGTTTAGGGGCCTGCTTTCCCAATAATTACAAATCCAGCCCAAACTGCTTTGTTTAGCATGTGTTTGCTGTGTTGTAGCCTGCATATTTTTCAAATTTTGCTGGTTATGCCTCCAAACATTTGCTTTAATAGCAGTGGTGTGTGTGCAGTTACCCCTTCGCTACGTAATTTTCTTTGATGTTTCACTGCCCATTGCAATTTTTGCCTTACAGAGGTCCAAAAAAAGTTTCCTTAGTTAAAAATGCACCAACAGCATCCTAGGAGACAGGTAATTCCAAACAATTGTAAATTTGAAATATATTTGCTTTCCAAGAATATAAATACTATTTAATTTCTCACATTATTTAATTCATTTGCATTTACTCACAACCTAATAAAAATATTTCATTAAAGGGATTGACTGGTACTCCTGCACAAATAATATTTTTGATATTATTAAAAAAAATCCTTTTAACAATAAACAATAACCAAGGGGTAGAACTGAAAGAAAAGAGAACAACTCTGTCATACTAATTTTTTTCCAGGTATGAAACAGTAACACCTCACAGGCACAGCTGACACTTCTGGCAGCAAGACCGTATTAAGATGACACACTAATTAAACTGGGATGAAAAACCTAAAGCTCTCAGGCTCTGTTTTGCTCCACGTTGACACTTGCTTATTGTTAAATGGAAATTCATTTACACTTGAAATTGGCAGGATACCCGAGGCGTGGGCAAGCCTGTATCTATTTCCATCCTTCTGCCTTCTTAGCCAGCAAGATAAGTAAAAATTATTTCCTTTTCGGGGGGATACCTTATGCTTGACAGAAGGCCTTAGATACTGTAGCATGCACTTACGTGCACAATATAAGCCTACAGAAATTAATGTAAAATAGACTCTCTACTTCCACAGTAGAAAGGGAAGTTCAGGTTATTGAGACCTCAGTGGATATCAGCCTGCCAGAGGTCCGAATTAAAATATAAGCGGTAATTAAATGCAATATATACAATGTCAAAATATAATAATAAATCAGATATAAAATATATGTAATATATAATATGACGAAATACTATAATTACAATATAAGCTGTATTCATTGCAAAGAGATACGAATTTAAACACGTCAATAAGGATCGTTCCTTGCGCAATCTGACAGACCTAACCCACTTGATATCATCTCTCAATTCAGCGTCCCCTGGGAATAAGGGCTAAGGAATTCCGTGCTGCTGTTGGTCCTTCCTTACGCCCTGAAATCGTAGCAAATCCAACTTGGAAGGATTCTTGATGGGGTCCGTGCTGCTGTTGGTCCTTCCTTACGCCCTGAAATCGCAGCAAATCCAACTTGGAAGGATTCTTGATGGGGTCCGTGCCTGTCGGCCCGAGCTCCCTCAGGAACGCCGGCCTGACGCAGGTCGCTGGCCCGCCGGCCGAGGCCACTCAGCAGCCGCCCGCAGGGGAGACCGCGGCTCGGGGCCGGGTTCCCAGGCTCTGTGGGGCCGGGTTCCCAGGCTC